GTCTGGAACAGGATTCTGAACTAGACGGACCTTTGACTTGACGAGGTACAGCCATTCTGAATGTATGGCCTTACTGAGCCAGATGATTTATGGTACTTGTGAGGGGAAAAAAACACTACTTTTGAAAAATGTGTCCTAACTAAAAGGAACATCTTTCTGTTTCTATGAAACAAAACTTGTATTTAACCGACTTTCTTTTAACATTATTAACTGGTGAAATGATCTGTTAGTTCGGATGTGAGAAACATGCTACTATTATGCATGCACTTGGATAAAATTAACTTGGTCTATTTATCTTTGGATATGGACAATCAAAGGTATACAAACTGAAACTACTGCACTGGCAGCTTGTGAGGTACACTCTTGAAGTAGGTAGCTGCTATCCATCTGGAAAGCATATCTGGATTACACTACACCTAGGATTATACAGACAGGGCAGTCTGATGGCTCCAAGTAAGTGTTAGAACAAATACTTCGTAGTTTCTGAGTCAGTAGTGACTCACTTCATGCAAGCACTGAGTAGGTAGAGGTATTTACTGAATTTTGAACATTAATTAAGCAGATGGTGAATTAATAGTTTATGTGGTATAGACTCAAATCATCTTGGTGATGGGATTTGGAGGTACCTGTTGCTTTGACTACTTTAATATTTATTTTATAAATGAGATCTAATTTTTATACTGGTGATTTCTGTATTTATGATGGTAATTTATACTTTTCTAGTGAAATAAAGGTGACTGGGAAAATAAGACTTTCTTTTCCTTTTTTAAATGAAGTGCAGCATTCATTCCAGAGATGAATACATTTGGGAGACTTACATTGTGACAGCAGTATAGGCAAGCTTCCAGAACTCTAGCCAGGATTCTGCAAAATAGACTATCACAGCACTTACTACCTGTAAGGATAAATACGTGAGAAGCCACAGCTCACGAGGTGATTAAAGGTTTTGAGGAATCTGGAGTTGCTTGTCAGCTCTCCACTTACATGAGCGATTATTCAGTGTTTGCATTCACAGCTGCTCATTCTAATGGAAAGTATAGGACCGGTCTCTGGATCTATCACAGAATGGTTTGGTTTGGAAGGGAACTTAAAGATCATCTAGTCCCACCCCCCTGCCATGGGCAGGGACGCCTTCCACTAGACCAGGTTGTTCAAAGCCACATCCAGCCTGGCCTTGAACATTTCCGGGGATGGGGCATCCACAGCTTCTCTGGGCAACCTGTTCCAGTGCCTCACCACCCTCTCCAGGAAGAATTTCTTCCTGATATCTAATCTAATCCTCCCTGCTTTCAATTTAAACCTACTCCCCCTTGTCCTGTCACTACAGGCCCTTGTAAAAAGTCCCCCCCAGCTTCCTTGTAGGCCCTTCAGGTACTGGAAAGCTGCAATAAGGTCTGCCCGGAGCCTTCTCTTCTCCAGGCTGAACAAGCCCAACTCTCTCAGCCTTTCATGTGGTGCCTGTGCTGCTTGTGGTAATAATGTTCATTCAAGGCAATTGTGGGGCCTGGCCCAGAGATAAGAACTGTTGCAACTAATGTTGGTATCTATTGCTGCCGCTGATGGCGATAGGCAGGAAAAAAAAAGAGAATGGAAAAAAAAAAAAAAGGTCTTGCAGTTAGCATTAATTTGCTGTATGTCTCAAAGCCTTATATGCGTGTCTTAAAAGATGTCCATTGCATTTATGAGAAGGAATAACATCATATAAAATCAATATCCCAACCTAACAACTCTTACAGAATTGTATTTCATGGTTGTCAAACCTACTGTGACCTCTGTGAATGTGTGAGTATCATTTATGGGGGTTTTCTTTGTTCTTTAAATCCCTTTTTTACAGAGGGAAGAAAACAAACAGCACTGTCCCTTCCCACTCCCCACCACCCCACCCCTGAAAAAACCTGTTTCCTTATTACAGTGCAAAAAATGCTGAACACATTTTCTGCTGATGCATAAGCCCTGTATGGAGGAGGAGTCTGACAACAGCAATCAAAAATATGAGCGCCGTGGGAGTAAATTTTAAAACATTCCAAAGTTGCAATAATTACTTCCCTTCTCTGTGCTGTTCTTCCTCAGCTTTGTTCCGTGCCAAGCTCAGAAAAGGGAAGAGCACATTGGAAAAGTAAAGCCTGTAGGCTACAGCACAGTACTTTTTAAACTAGACCATGCAGTTGATTGCCATAAGCTACGTAGAATAATATAAATTAATTACTTTTTTTGGTTTGTTTTGAATATGAAGGTTGCTTTTAGTAAAAGAAAGACAGAAAGAACACCCATAGGAATGCAAACAAGTGCCTTAAATGGCATAAGGTGACCCACTACAGCACGAATTCTGGAAACCTGAAGCACTTCTGTTCCCTAGCTGCAGTATGTTATCATTCAACAGTGCTGAGTAACCAGAGTCATGGGGCTCACAGATCCGATTTCAAAGAGGTTTTTTTCTGTTTGTGCAGACAGTTGAGAAATGGGCTTTTCATTGCAAACTTCCGGAACTATTATCCCTTGAGTCAGTGTACCGAGCCCACGCAAAATGTTTTATGCCGAGATTTAACTTTCTCAGAGTATCAGGGTGGGCAAAAGGAGTTGTTGAATAAAGGTATTGTCACTAGGAAGAGAGACTAGACCCTGTCTACAAGGCACATGTGGCCACTTCAGCCCTGTACTAATTTCAGACAGAGCCAGCCACCCAGGGGATCGACGTGCGAAAGGGAAGGCCTCCCCTACGCACCTAAGTTCCCTGGCTTATCTTCTCAGTAGGTTTCTGTAAGCAAGCGTGTTCCTATTGATGTTCCCGATTGCCCCATTCCACTTTGCTCCTTGTCATATATTGCAGAAAGAACTATCCCACAATTTCAAGTGGAGAAAAACATTTGCACAGTTCCCTGACATGGTATGTGTGTTCTCTCCTTATACAAATGAGTATGTATAATACTCTAATAAGCCACTTTCTTTTAATAGTACTGCTTTAAAAGCACATTATTCTTCTTCACTTGAATGAAGAAAGGCTGGTGTTGTTCTGCTGCTTTTCTGCCAGCCCTAACAGCATTACAGACAATAAAATTACTGCCATTGCTTAAAACAATCAACTGCTCAGGACTTCATAAATGTAGGGGTGATAGATACGGCAGCAAACAGCTTAGCTAATCTATTCCTAGCAGACTCAACTTTCCACTGCGAGAAGGCTGCTGCTGAGAGGCATGTAATGGTAAGAATGTGATTATAAGCTTAACTGGGATCACTAGCTGTGTGGCAACTCAGGACAAAGAGTTTCTGCATTAGGTAAGTGTGAATAAACAGCTGTGATAGATTACCTTCATTGTTCAGCTCTGTAATGTTGACTTTGCAGGTCAGTAGCGATTGCTACACGGCTACAGCACCTTGTAATACAGAGGAACGAGTGGGCTTTTGACAGTACCAGATCCAGGAGTCCATTGAGTACTCCTCTAATTCTGCAGTGTTTATCCACACACAAATAACCACACTTTTCTGTCATCTGTGTGTCACCGAAGGAAGGAGAAGACCTGGTATTCAGGCTCGAGGAAGACAGGAAAACCAAAAAAGAACAACCTGCTAGACAAGCAGCAGCAGAAACTTGCCGGATGAAAATCTTTCCACAAACATGAGGTGTGTTGTTATCCACCATGGCATGTGCTGTCTCACGCAGTACACCCGTTGCTGTAACAAACAGAAAGATGCCCTTCCCTTATTTGCTGGTGCGTGTCCTCTCGGGCTCAACAGCAAGACATACACACAAGCTCAGGGCATAATGACCAGGAGGGATGTGCTGCAAATCTCCTCCTCCCACCTTACTATGAGAAATCTTCCTGCTAGTGAGATCCCTCTGCTGCTTCTGGCACAGGCTCCCATTCGGCCCATATAGCCCATTTCAGCATCCCCCCAAAGGACCCAGAAGGAATATCTTTCCCTGTAATTCTTCAGCCTCTAACCGCAGCTGAATTCATCAAGGTCATAGGAAGATTTGCTTCAGGGGTGATTTCTTCCAGTAAAACCTGCCAGCACCTGGGAATACACAGCCACGTTGACTGCCTCCAGGGCTTTACAGCAGGTCCTATCTCGTTTGTCCAATTGCAGGGATTGGGCCTGTTTCATCCTGTCAAAGTTTGTGCCCTACTAGTGACACACGTCAGTGATTTGTGCCTGTAAGAAGCTCACAGTGTTTCTGCTCCTTACTTCCCCTGGCTCCTTTGTTGATGTTTCCATTCCTCTCCCCCATCCCCTACTCAATTCCGTCACCTGCTCTTCCCCAGAGACAAACTCACTGTCTCATTTCTGCAAACAGCGGGCTAGGATCTCATTTAAATGAAAATATAGCACCTGAATAAATATATGTCCCTTAATCAACAACCAAGAATATATTAATAGCATGGCAGCTTTTTCTTTTTTACTCTCTAGAGCTTCCCTTGGTCACTGTAATTGGATCAATAACTTCCTGAACATTCACTAGCACTGCCCTGAATGCCCTTCTTCCTGCACTTAGTTCCCTTTAAATATTAACATTTTTAGTGGCTTGTTAAACTAGCGATGAAGTTATAAATTTCAACTCAGAATATTCAGTTCCAGATTCCAGTTATCCTTGCGGATACATTTTCTTCTATTTTAGTTTCAAATTTTCTGCCTTATTACTTCAAGACAGATTTAAATAGCAAAGTACTCAGACATCGTTATAT